TTTGGCAATAACAATACACAATGTACTAACCATTATTACTCTCCTAAAATCTTGTTTTGAGATTTTGTACCACTGTTTTTATTTTTTTTCTTTCTTTAAAATAAAAATAACTGATGTCAATAAAAAAAATAAAATAAAAATAAAAACAGTTCATCATTATCATGAAGATGTAGGTTCCAAGTACAAGACAGCCAGTGCGTATAGTCATGTGGTAAACTGGCTTCTGGTCAAAGTAAAAACATACTCAGAAATACTATCTCACATAGATGACCCTAGGTTTAAATTGTTTTTTTAAACTACAAATGCAAGATCAATGTCTTCATATAGAAAATTTAAAGTAGATGAATCTAAGATTTGGGGAAAAGTGATAAAGGTGAGAGTGATAATGGAAAAATTAACAGTATACTATTAAAAACAGATTTGGAGATGAGTATGATTGTCCTATCAGCAGCCGCTTGTCTCTGGCATGAGGGCTCACTGGCCCAAAGAGGACCTCAGGAAGACAGTATTTCAGAAAATACCTGTCAAATGAATGCTGACTAAAGATATGTTGCAAACATTATTTGTATTACTCCATAATGCATGTCATTAATAAAAGTACATGAGAAATTTTATTTAATAAAGGCACATTCTTGCATCTTCATCAAAAAAAATTAAAAAATTTTTAAAAATGTTGCTTTTATGCTATTTGTACTAAGTATTATTTTTGTGACATTAGATATTCTTCAGTAATCCATCATGTTTGTTTGTTAAATAATCTATTAAAATTATAGAATTTTGATAGAACAGATCCATTACAAAATGGATTCTTTGCCTTTCTCTCTCCCTAAATATTTCTTTAAAAGGTATACTAATATCTAAGTTAGTTAATTTTTTTTCAAAGGATTCTGCAGATGTTTCATAAATATATGTATAATTATCAATTACCCAGATAATGTACTTATATTATTACTTCTAAAGCAAGTGGGAGAAACCAGCTTAATTCAAGAAGAGTCATGCATGAAGACTTCTCCTGTACCACGTATTCATAGGGTTTCTCTCTAATACATACATCCCACTCATCTCGTAAGGAAAGAGGATTAAATAAAACCATCCTACATTTGTGTCAGTTCACCTGGTCTCTGTGCAGTGTGAATTTTTCTGTGTATTACATAAAGAGAAACCAGTAAAGTTTTCTTCTGTATCCTATATATTCAGACATTTTTTTCCAGGGTGAATTTTCACATATTCCCTAAAAGATACAGGCACAGAAAACTTAATGTTTTCTTTTTTCGTAATGTTTGTTTCTGCTGTTAGTTTGCTCATATTTCTTAGCTATCCAGGGAAATCTGAAAGCTTTCCCACATTCCTTGTGTTCATAAGGGTTTTTTATAGTTGTATGTTCGCATCTTCAGCGATTGGAAGGAAATGAATACTTTTCTCCATTTCCTGCATTTGTAAAGTGTTACCCTGCTATAAGTTCATTTATGAATTTTAAGTCATAAGGAAAAAATAAAGGTTTTCCCACATACTTCATATTAATGTAGCTTTTCCCTCTCCTGAGTTCTTAGTTTTTTCCAAAGAGAAAAGTAATAATCCAACATCATACTACTTCCTTACATTAATAATGTTTCATTTCCAATTAACCACTAAGAAGAATATATGCAGTGTATTATTTGTTGAAACTGTACTTTCGATTTGATTTGAAACTGTCTCATTGCTATATGTTTATCAATAAAACTTTGAAAAGAAAAAAATAATAATAATAATGTTTCATTTCACTTTGGATTGTTTACCATGACATTTTGTTGTTGTTGTTGTTGTTTTTGTATTTTTAGGGAAGGGTCTACCGGGTGTTCAGGGTCTCACTACTAGATCGGACTCGTAGTGATCCACCTGTTTACAGCCTCCCAAAAGCTGGGATTAGAGGTGCGCACCACCACACCCAGTCTCTATTGCCATCTCAGCGCGCCCCAGGGGCGGGGCTGGCACAGCAGGCCCAGGGATTGAACCCCCGGCCTCTGTGCCTGCTTGCAGGCACTTTAATCTGCTGTGCTATTTGGCCAGCCCTTCCCATGACTTTTCTAAAAGAGGAATAATAGTGGAAGTCTGTTTTACAGCCCATAAATTCATATGTGAGTTTGTATGTAAATGTTAACTTTTGAGTGCCAACTATGGAGTTTATTCATGTTTATTAAGGTAAACATATAAAGTCTTTTTTGCATCCTTGACCTTCCTAAGGCTGTTCTCTGATGTACACATTAGATAATACGAACTTGCTAAAGATCTTACTTTCATTACATCATAATTTCTCTTCTTTGGGAGAGCTTATATACTGAGAGATGTAATACAGGTTGTCTCCAGTGTAGTCACACGTTATATAAGGTATGGGGATGCTCCCTTCCCTTCCCCGTAATCCTCATGTGTATAGGACTTCTTTCCCAGTGTGTGCTTTTATATATTTAGTAAGGTGTGAGGACTAAGTGAAAAACTTGCCCATGTTCCTTACGTGCATGAAGCTTCTCTCCAGGATAAATTTTGCATGTTCAGTAAAGAGTGTGATTAGCCCATCTGTATAATTCCAGGCTCTTCTTGGGGAGCTCTTTTGCCTTTAAAACAAAATAAGAATTGCTCATTGTTTTCACACATCTCTATAAGCAGTGTAGTTCTCTCCAGTACAAGTTCTCACATGTGCCGTAATATGTGGGGAAGCAGGGAGCCTTCCGTGTGCTCTGCATACATAGGATTTGTCTCCAGTGCAAGTTTTCGTTCATAGCTGCTCCTCCTTACTGTACTTTTCTTTTTTCTTCAAATAGTTTGTTGAAAAAAAGCACCTATTCTGTAACAGAGAGTTTCCTTTATTACACACTTATGTGTAGTGTGATTTACTTTTTCCTCTGTCCCATGTAGTTCCTAAAAACTAGTAATTGGACCAACAGCCTTTCATTTTTTGTAAGACTATTTCATAGATGATGATATTGTACACTGCTGTTAGAAGACCTGTCATCTGTGGCTATTTCTGGTTTTAGCATTTGTGATATTAACAGCATTATTGCCATTGTCTAGGTTTATCATTCATTAGAAATTTTATCACCTAACATTTAGATAGGAAAAGAGGGCTATAAGTTTTATAAAACTAAAAAATCTAACATAGGAATCAAAATTTACAAGAATATAGGAGGAGCTAGGCAAACAGTGATCTAGAATGACTAAGGTCAGGGTCAGAGAAAATTACTGTGTTTACTTGAAGTATTGGCAGCTAGGGGCCAGCTGCACTCTCAAAGCAGGCCCTAAAGGTGGGGTTCAGGGTGGTAAAATTGCAACCCTATGAAAGTTGTTTGTACAATGTGTAATCAAAATATATGGTGAATGCTCAAATTTTAAAGAAAATTTATTACAGTTAAAGATATAGTGTCATTAATCCTACTCAGAGTACTCCCCCTTACTTTGAATACACTTATCAGATCATTAGTAGTATTTCCTGATGCAGTTCAGAAAGTCCTCTTTTGTAAGAGTCTTTACAAGGTCTGACTGAAAATATGGTGCCATCCAATGGAAAGGCAGGCTTATAAAAACATGCTGTGTCTTCATCCACCTTCTTCACCAGATCTGGCACCAGGAGACTTCTGGATTTTCCCCTAAAGTCCAAAAAAAAAAGGTAGCATTTTGAATCAATGCAGAACATGAAGGCAGCCACAACAGCACAACTAAAGACCTTCACGAAAGAATTGCTCTTACAGAATTGCTTCAGAAAGTAGCAGGAACAATGGAATTAATTTGTTCAAAACAAAAAAAAAATTTTTGTTCAAAACAGGGATGGTATTTTGAAGAGGATTAATAGCAATATACATTTTACTCTAAGCATTTTTAATTTCAACCTCACTGCCTTGCCTGATATAGAACTGGAATTTATAAAGACTAATTTCTGAGATATATGTGAAATTAAAATTTATCATTATAATTTAGTAATGTAGTCAGCTGTTGTGTTTTCCTGTGGTGTGGTTTGATGGAGGAGTTCTGATTACCTCCCTACTTCATCTTTTTTACTGTTGCCTTCATTTCCCTTGAAAAGCTCTTCTACAATGATTCTGAATGTCAGTAAAAATTTGAAAGCCATTTCATATTGATTTTCTAGATGAGTGAGCTCAATTTATCTATTCTTAGTTAAGCTTGTTAAATTAAATATCTTTTCCTGGTATTACATAATGTTTTGAAACCACATGAATCTAAAGTGAAAAGAAATGGCTCAGAATTAAGAAAACAAAAGCCTGTGCCATAACATGTAGACAGACAGCTTGATTTCTACTACAGATCATTAAGTTTAAAGCTCCCTTTTTTAACTTCGGTTTTTGTTTTTTTTTTTTTTTTTTTTTTTTTTAAATCAGTTCCTCGGAAGAGATATCACGTTCCCATGAAATGATTCAGAAACTTCAAAATGTGTTGGAGTCGGAAAGAGAGAATTGTGGCTTTGTCAGCGAACAAAGGCTTAAACTGCAGCAAGAAAATGAACAGCTACACAAGGAAACCGACCATTTAAGAAAGATTGCTCTGGAGGCTCAAAAACAAGCCAAATTAAAGGTATGTTCAAGACTCATTGGAGTTAGATGTGGTTTTGAGAAAATTAGAGAACAAAGTACAGAAACCTAGAAAAACATTCTCGGGCCTTTTTTGCCTTCTCATCATATAGCACTAAGTCATAATTCAGTGTTAGCCAGTCATTTCTGTATTGTAAAACTTGGCAAGCACACTTGAAAATGACTGCTTTCAGGGTCTGCGCGCGTGCGCACACACACACACACACACACACACACACATTCTTTTCCAATGATGAAATACACCGATATTCCTGCCGAAGCAATTGAAGCTGCACTAGCAGAACCATAGATTAGATAACTTTACAGACTCCCATTCTCTCTTCTCCCTTTATTATAGCCTCTCAAAAATTGAGCTTCTCTCACACTAGCTGTGCGAGTGTGATATGTCAGCATGATCTGAGAACCACTCATAGCTAGTCCAAAGCTTTCATGCCAGGCAGAAGGCAGGGAGAGAAAGCCTCATCTAAAACTAAAGCTTCCCTGTCTTTTGTCTCCCTTTTATTCAGTGCTCACATGCTTCAGCAGCAGGAGCGTGATAACCTGGTTCAGGGAGTTTCACAAAACACATCAGCACCTCGTTTACTTTTCTCCACTCCGTGGCACTTCTGTAAAACATAGAAGTACTTCTTTATGGTAAAGAGCTGTATCCCCCAAGGATACAAGGTGGTGGCATTAGTGTTTGCCTTTTTTTCCTACTGTAGTGACTCAAATCACATTCCAACCTAATTCATAGCAACGTATATTTAATGAATGCCTCCTATTGCAAGTATTAGACACTAGGCATGTGTAAACATGAAGTCGGAAATGAAAAAGAGATTAATCTGCCATATGAAGAAGTTTGTGTGCTGTGCTTTGAGCTGTGGGAAGTCTTTAACGGACAAGGAAAAGCATACTTGATACAAAGCCACAGTAATTAAGACAATGTGTTTTCAGCATCATATAATAGTAGGTTGCTCAGTAGCATAAAATTCAATCCAGAACAAACTCATCTTTAATAATCATGCTATCGGGCCGGGGAGATGGCTCAGTAGAATAAGTGCTTGCCTGGCAAGCGCAAGGGCCTGAGTTCAATCCCCAGTTCCGCCAAAATAATAATAATAATCATCATCATGCTATCTACAATGAAAGCCACTGGAGTACAATGAGTTGTCATCATAATAAATGATAATAGATTAATTAGCTCCATATTTAAAAAATAAACTTTGACTCCTTAATTATATCATATATGCAAATTAATTTGAATACCTTGCAGACCAAAATGTGAAAGATAAAACCCTGGAATTTCTAGAACTGTTCATGTCAGTGTGTGGGTAAAAGCTGAATTGTGCCCTTAAAACTGACATACTACATTGTAAGTCAAAGATAAATTTTAGAAGGAAGAGTAGACAGGAACATAGGTAAAACAAAGGTGGGTATGAGTTTGATGGTTGTGATTATGGAGGTAAACACACAAGTCAGTATACAATAGGTGAAAAATACTATAACTTCATCTCATAAAATTTATAAAATGTATTGATTAACAATTTAAAACTGTTAATACTGTAAAACAGTAGGAAATATAGGTGAATGTTGAATTAAGAACTTGTTAAAAAATAAAAATGGAAGAAATTGCAAGTGGCAATATTAACAGATTATCATATAAAATATTTAAAACTATTTGATAACTTTTAAAAAGAAGTAAGAGGATATGGTAGGCTTTTATGTATTTTTTAGAACAGGGTCTATAGGGTCTCACTACACAGATCAGATTCCTAGTGGTCCTCCTGTTTTCAGCTTCCCAAGCACTGGGATTACAGGTGTATTCCACCACGCCTGGCCTCAGTCGCCATCTCATTGCACCCCGGGGGTGGGGCTGGCATGGCATGCTGGGGACAGAACCATTATCGCTGTGCCTGCCTAAGCAGGTGCTTTAGTCCATCTGGCTGGCCAGGATATGGTTTTAATAGCTATAATAAATGCCTAAGACCCATCAAGGTTTTCTTCTTAACCACAGAACACAAAAAAATTTTCTATTGGCTGTTTTCTCAGGTGCTCCAAGGCTGGTATGTAGGAGTACCATTGTAAGTGCTGATGAGAAAAGGTGATTTATTATATAAATGTGCTACCTTAAAGGGTTAGAATTTAAATCGCTCCCTAAACCCCAATTGAGAAAGCTTCTAGGCTGTACTTTCAGTCTGCATTAAGGTGTTTTAGTATAATAATATAAATTCCCAGAAACATAGTGAAGATATTCCCATGTGAGATTCCCATATGGTTTTGTTTCCCTGAAAAAAAAAAATACTTTGTTTATTAATATTGCAACTGAAGTGGTAAACAAATTCTTGTATGTCTGTGTGTATATATTGTATGTATATATGTACAAAATTTACATATATATATTTTACAAAGCCCTTTGGAAAATAATCTGAAAATTAGTATATAAACCAAAATTACTAAGGGTGTGTACCTTTTTTGTGGATTGTGACAGCAGAAATAAAATTAAGTAGTTTTAGGTTGTGTTCTTTTTCCTGTTGGCATTTTAAGGTGTTAGGAAAAGGACTGCAAAAAAGAATGGTCCGTCCTAAGTGTGAAGCAATTCATGTATGCATAGTCTAGGTTGCCTTTATTTGTGCTACAGACACATTATAAAACTTGATTTCTTACATAAATTTCTCAGAAAAACGTTTCTAAAACTCAGACCGCACAGTGAGTAGTCTCTTGTGTATGCATCAATCCCTGTAGCACTCGCATAACACAGAGAACTTCTGTGTGGGCTTTATTCTTCAGGTCAGTACAATGGAGCATGAATTTTCAATAAAGGAACATGGGTTTGAAGTTCAGTTAAGAGAGATGGAAGACAGTAATCGAGATTCCACTGTTGAACTGAGGCATCTCTTAGCAACTCAACAGAAGGCAGCCAATAGGTGGAAAGAAGAAGCAAGGAAACTCTCTGAAAGTGCAGAAATGAGAATCGGCAACCTAAAGTAAGTCTACTATTAATAATTGACATGTACTAGAGAATAAATTATTTAAACCTGTAGCTTATGTCCTTGCCATAATCTTTTTGTAAAAGTGTGTAGATCTGTGCCTTAGACTTTGTTCAACATATATTTTGGGGGCTACTATAAAAATATTAAACATTGTAAATCAGATTAACTGTTGTATATTTATTGTAAATTTTATATGTATTCCACAAAATTATGTGATTTTTGTTGCACACAGTAGTTTATAATCTTACTATATATAGATGTAACCTATGGAGACTTCTGTAGTTACAGAATCCATTAAACCTGCAAACGCTAAAATGTTTATTCTCTGACCCTTTAAGAAAAACATTTTTCAACCTTTCCTTATAATGCACTTGAGATTTTGTATGAATGAAACAGGAAGCCCTAGAACTTCAGGTAGGAATGGGACTGGAAGGCTTAGAGCAAAATGAAGTGTTGTCTTGAGTAATCGACAGATGACTTTGACTGCTGTGTGAAGAATAGACTTGACCTAAAATTGCTCAAAATATAAAGCATATTTTAAAAATACATAGGTTGTAAAGATACAGAGGTGCTATTAAGATCCAAGTAGGCAATCATGGTGGTTAGGACTAGGTTTTAAAAGATTGGAGATAATGAAAACAAAAAAATTTGCTTTGGGCCATGGTAAGTGTGCACTGCCCTGAAGGTATTTCAGTCAGTCTGTTAACTGGTCCGTTATATATGTAAGTTGAGCACTCAGGAACAGGCAGCAGCAGGAGCTGTGAAGGTGCACATGATCAGCATGCATGGTTTTTAAAGGCATAGATTAAGAATATGTTAGAAAAGGATAGAGAGAAATGAAGCTGAAGATAAAGTGACAGAATTTAAACTTCAGGATTCTCCTGAGAGACTAACAAGAAGTACCCAGAGGAATAGGAATCAAAGTAAAATGCTTCTTAAAAAATTATTTCTTGGGCTGGGGATCTAGCTCAGTGGCATAAACACCTGCCTGGCAAGTGCAAGGTCCTGAGTTTGATCCCTGGTTCCGCTAAAAAAAAAAAAAAAA